TGCTGCTGGTGGGGGCGCTGGGCCGGATCCCCGGAAGCGAAGGGGGGGAAGGAGACCCCCGGTAAGGAGGGGGCTGGGCGGGGGAGGAGGGGGTAGAAGGACCCCCCAGGCGAGAAAAGGAAGCTGATGGGTCTCCAGAGCCTCCAACAGCCTCGATCTCTGTGCGGTCTCCTTCCCCTTCCCTACCCGTATTGCCCACCCCCAGGAGGAGGGAGAGGGGCCCCTCCCTTGTTCCCCGATTGTAGCCGAGGTGGGGGTCGCAGCCGGGCCCCTCCCCCCCCATTGTCTGGGTGGGAGTGGGCTGCCTGGAAAGAGGCAGGGAAGGAAAAGCGAAAGCGAAAGAGGGAAACTGAGGCATTTTCAGCCCTGAAGCCCCAGAAGGAAAAAGAGCCAAAGAATTTTGGCTTCTGCAGAAACTTCGCTTTTTCTTCTGAATCTCAGATTTGAGGCTTTGGAGGTCAGGCAAGAGGGGAGCTTCGGTCCTTCTGGGGGAGGCTCTGAATTTGGGGAGGGGACCAAGAACCCCCCACCCCCATCATCCCCCACTGGCTCTATCGGGACCTGGCAGGGGAGGGGGGAACGGAGGGAGGGGGGGCTCTGAGTTGCTCCTCTGAAAGTGGCTCCCCCTTTAGAGAGGGGAGGCTGGAGACCCTCCCTTTGAGAGGCTCTTGGGGGGCCTGCAGGGGGTCTTTTGGGGGAGGGGGAAAGGAAACTGGTGGGCATCCGTGACAGTCACCCAAAGGGAGGGAAATGGGCTGAAAATTTGGGGAAGAAGAAAAGTTGGGGGGGGGAATCCAGGGAAGGGGGGATTTGAAGGGCTGGGAGACCTCAAGAATATGAGTCTAGATGTCCTCCTTGTGCCCCTTCCCGTATTCCCCGCCCCCCCAAAGGAAGAGAGAGCAGGAGGTGTGGATACCACCTTCCCTCCAGCCCTCCTCCCACCGTTCCTCCCCCTGGAGATCCAACGGTCCCTACAGAGAGAAGATCTGCTCGACCAGTGGATCTTCTGCCTGCCCTCCCCCCCCCTCAGAAGGGATGGAGGGGGGGTCCCTTAAGAAGGCTCCTCCCCTCCTCCTTTCTTTCCTCCCCCTCTTCCTCCTTCAGGAGCGTCTCCCTTCAGTCTCTCAAAGGAAGATACCCCCCCACCCTCCCCTCTTCCTGGTGGGACCCTCCTCCTCCTCTATTAGCGTCTGGGAGCGATGGGCCCTGGGGTCCCTCCTGATGGCCTTCCTCCTCCTCTTCCTCCTGGCAGCCCATTTCCTGTACCAGGGGAAGGCCGAGTGCCTCTTCCTCAACGGGACGCAGCGGGTGCGGTTCCTGAATCGGTACTTCTACGACCGGCAGGAATATGTCCGCTACGACAGCGACCTCGGGAAACACGTGGCCGTCACCGCGTTGGGGGAGGCGATTGCGGACTATTGGAACGGAGACAAGCAGTGGATGCAGTACGAGAAGGCCGAAGTGGATCGTTTCTGCCGACACAACTACAAGGTGTACAACTACGAGGCAGTCAAGAGGGAGGAGCGCCTGATCCGCCGGAGAGGTGAGTCCTGGGGGAGGGAGGGTCTCTTCTTCCCTGGGAGGGGGAGGCCGGGACCCCCCTTTCCTTTCCTGGCCTCCACTGGGGATTCTCCTCCCGGGTGACGGTTCCGCCTCCTTCTTCCTTCTGAGCTCCGGAATCTCCCTCTTCTCCCCAGGATCCAAACTCTCCTCCTGTCCGGGATCTGGGATCCCTTTGATTCCCCCAGGAAATCCACCCAAATCTATGATTTCCTTCTTTGGGGGGGAGGGGAATCCAGCCAGGTCTCCCTCCCTCCCTCCTGCTCAATACAGGGAGGCCTCCACATACAACAGTTCCCTTAGTGACTGTTTGAAGTCACAAGGGCAGTGAAAACAATCACTTCTGACCCTGTTTCACTCAGTCATATATTCAACATGTTTACAGTTCAATCTATTGATATCATTTCATTTATCATTCAGAGTTTCACCTTAATTTATAGCTATCCCAA